AAACAATACCAAAAGCTATGCTGCTGAAGTCATGATTCATGTAACTCACACATCCTAGTTTATTTAAGCTGGGGAGTTTTGTAACATAAAATCACAAGTCAGTTGCCTAGGAAAAGAGTGAAAGTATATATGTACATGCATAAATATAGACTATTCACAAATTTACTGCGAATCTGGACAATATGTTAACATAATAATTTATGGAGATCTCATTTTGAAATCCATGCAAATTATAATGAATAACTTTACCTTTTCTTTATGTTATCAGCAGACATGTTTCGATTTACTCCTACAACATCATATAGAGAGTCACCCACAGCATCCATAATTCTTGTGACCTAATTGAGTAGATGTGAAAGTTAATGAGTTAAAACAGTTGCTCAGAATACATAAACTCAAGAATGATAATATAAAAATTAAGTAAAAAAGAAGACAAACTCCATTTCTAAATTTTTCATTACCAGCAATATAACCTAGGACCTAATATCAACTTTTTAGATAGGTTTATTCCAGATAACAGGCATGCAAAGATATTGTTAAATGGAAGAACAACGAAAAAAAAAAAAAGCATTATCAACAATAAATCATTTTATCCACAGCAGGGGGCAGGACCCCTCAAAGATCAAGACATTTCCTCGAATTTAAAAAATATTTCAAAAATGTTTCACTTTCTTAAATAAGGAGCCAATCAAAAGAAAAGGTCATGCTTTAGCCCCAAACATCCAACTTTTAGATCCATCCTTCTGAGTGTGTATAAGATTTTTTATTTTTATCTCAGTATATGCTTATTCCGCTCTGCACTCCCAAAAAAAAAAAAACTGTTGCTTAATCATAGAGATCAAATCTGAAACTAAGAAATAAAAGTCCTTCTTTGCTAGAAGTAACAGCCAAGGAAATATACACAAATATTCAACCTCCTCCGTTGATTTAGTTCTAAACAACACAGCTAGTCCAAAAACATACTCGATATAGCATTAGTGTTATGCTTTTAAACTATTAAAGGATCTTCTGTGTCCCAAATCCTTTCTCCACAAAATGGTATGTAACAAATAAAGTTTGTCAGTAACAAGGTGAGACACATTTGTCCTCCATGAAAATAAGTTGCAGTCATTTAGTGAAACCAAATCAACGATCAAATCCATTGAACACATTACTCTTGTGCTTATGGACATGAAACCTGCCCATCTGATAATAAGTAAAAGAGAGAAAAAAGCCCTTGGTTTCATCATTAAAAACTTCATCCATCTCACAAAATAAATAGAAACTTAGCAGTGATAGTAAACAGGAATGCAGCCAAAAAAGTTGCTTAAATGCCACTGTCAGCTTCTTGACACATTACTAATGATGCAAACACTATCATGGATTCGAACCAAAAGAAAGCCAACTGGCACAAGGAAGTATAAGGAAGAAAAGCCAGACTATACATCTAAACTACAAACCAACAATTCTCTGAATTACCTGTCCCATGCTTGTTCCATCAAAAAGACAGCTGAAAATGAGTTTTTAAAAGAGAAATAAACAAATGTTTTAATCCACTATAATAGATGAAGCACACATAAAAAGGAATGAGGTAAAAATCATCTCCCTCGATACATAAAACTCCCTTCTACTTCAAAACTTATGGCATTTGGATGAGGAAAGAATGACCAGAGACTTCTGAGACCTAAAATAAATCCTAGAACAAAGCTCTAGTGCTTCTGTTAGTTTTGCTGCTGCAGCAAGTAACTCGGCTGATGGCATTTCAGGGCCAATCACCCTGCAGTAAAATGAAAGCAAAACAGCATAACACAACTGTTCATGTCTTTTTCTATAAAATATATTTTTCTTAAAAAATAAAGAGTCCATGACTATTGCTTCAGTATAATTTAACCAATTCATCATACAAGGATGTTAAGAAAGGAAATGAAAACAAGTAGCACAACTATAAACCAAACATCCAACAAAACATACGAAAACAGAAATATCTGGAACCAACATGCCATCTTAGAAAGGCAAGAAGAGTAACTATAACTAGTTAAAAACAACATTAACATTCTTCCTTTTCCATAATTAAAGATCAATAGCATCAAGATTTGCAACAAAGAGGGTTCTCATAAATCATAATACTAGCTTGTGATACCTAGTCCTCTTAGGGCTACTCTCTGCAAAACAAGACAACACAGAATCTGTTCCAACTAAAAAGGAAATTAAAAAATAACCAAACCCGTTGGTCAAGATCATTGACCTTTTATTAGTATAATAAAGAAATAGACAAGCCATAATTTTGAACCTGAGAACAAGAGAGAGAGATAAAGTTTGTACCTTCTTCTAGGTGCAGAAGCATCATCTCTAGAAGATGGCACTGCCACATTATTGTCATCTGTTTCTTGTTTATGTTCTGCATCTGGTGGCATAGAATCCACACTATCTGATGGAATAGAATGATCTCCTTGTTGCTCTTTGGGCTCTGCACAAGCTTGAATCAAGGGTCCAACAACCTCCAAAGTAGGACCCGCTTTTGGACGCAGCAAAAAAACCCTATCCCCATTTTCCTTGAGATTTAATGAAATAAAAAGTCTCTTCAAATGCTTAATCAATGACCTTTCAGATATCCCTTTTATGTCAACAGCTTGTCCATCATCAATCATTTGCAGAAGCTATAATAAAAACAAAGATAAAAAAAAAAACGCAACATCAATGCATACCACGAGTTTCAAATCTACAAAAAAAAAAATCATAAAAAGTTCCCTAACTCGTATATTCAGGGAAGAAGAAACCATTTTCTTGTAAAAATCAAAAACCATTCTTCACTACTGATCACTACAATCATAATGGTATTACTTTACACATAATGTTATATAAGAACATAATTCAGTGATTAAAGCTTCATTTTTGTAATTTCTTTTAACTTAATCAACCAAAAGCCCAAATTTTTAAACCATAAAAGTTAATCCCACGATTAACCCACAAGGGATAACTAAAAACACAGAGATTTTACTAAAAAAAATCAGAATTACCTGTTTTAAGTCACCACCAACGTTAGGGAACTCACTCAACATCTCTTTAACTACATCTCCAGGGTTAACCCGAACTCTATCAATCTCCCTATCCTCCGAACCGGACCCGGATGCTGATGATTCGGACTCATAATCTCTTCTCTTCTTCGATTTCCTTCTCTTCCTCTCTCTATCTCTGTCTTTTCTTCTTCTCTTATCTTCTTTCTCTCTTTTTCTGTCCTTATCTCTCCTCGAACTCCCATCACTTCTCCCCCGGTTGCGGTGGCGGCTCCGCCGCCTCTCAATGGAAGAGTCGGTGTCTTCGTCGTCGTCGGAGCTTGATGGGGATGTCGGGGTGTCTTCTCTGTGCTTCCTCTTCGTTCTGCGTCCCATTTTTTTTTCTCAATTAAATTTAATTCTCTGATCCTCAAAATCAAAATTAGATAAAAGAGAATTGAAGCCCATCCATTAGAAGAACAGATTCGCGGAGGTCTCCCTTTCACTTGGGCTTTTGAGCCCAATTCTCTTTACAATCTTTTTTCCCTCATCCTAGACCATTTTATAATCAACATATTAATTCTATATTTGCCGCGTAAGTGCATCGACTCCATTGTTATTATGGCCCCAACAAAACATGCGCCCTCGTTGATCATTACTGAATTTTTTTTAATTTTTTTTAATTTTTTTTTTTATTTACGTGGGGTGTCCGGGTCAGCTTACGCGTACCACGACTAATCCCCACGACCCACTGAACATCCTGCAAGCCCAGTAAACAGGTAAGGCACCGCGGGGGTGACAGACATGCATGGTAAGGTTCGAATCCAGGTGCGGAGGAAGGGGACAAGCCCCTCCCACCACTAGACCAGAACCTCACTTACAAATCTTGAATGATTTTCTTTATAAATAATTTTTTATATTTATTATTGTCAAAATCATATGGTGATTTGATGACAGAATTCAACTTCGATCATGGTGGTGGGAATGTATTATTAAGAAATAATTTTAATAAAGTTAGGATAAAGTTTGAAAGTAACATTGGATTATAATAATAAGAAATGATATTATTACCATGGATATATTTATTGTCACTATAGGGAGTTGAAGAGTGATCTAAGAGAATTAAGGAAGAGGAAGCAAGTAACAGGAGGATTGTTGCTTTTTAAATTATTTTTATACTTGAAAATATATTAAAATAATATTTTTAAAAATTTATTTATTATATCATCATATTAAAGATCTAAAATTATACAAATATAATTTAAAATAAAAAATATTCAAAAAAATATTAAAAGCAAACAAAAACAAACAAAATATTACTGAATAGCATGAAGACATTATCCTAATGATTTAAAAAGGCATGAATTAATTGAAGAACATGTGGATTTAAGACTCTAATTGGTCGTTTCATGTTTGTGTAAATAAGCATTCGTTTCGTAATAGATATTGATCATGTGAAAATAAAAATGAATAAGGAAGATGTTTGGTGATGTTAGATTGATTTTATTTGAAATACTTAATTTGTGTGGTTATAAACATAGTTATTAAACCTGAATCAGTTTGGCAAATCGATATAAAATTCAGTTGATCTGGTAGCTGGATTAATTCGGGTAAAATAAAAAATTATTCAAGAAAAAAACCTAGTAAAATCTTGTTAGTTGATGTTTTTTTTTTTAATATGATTTTTCTCCTATACTTTTTTCATATTTTTAAAATAATGAAAATATAGGATCTGTTTCATTGAATTTGTTTTTAAGCAAGGATGAGATTGGTGTTTTGCACAAAATTTACAATATTCTTGCTACGAACAGCATTGACGTGTTTTCTCCTAATACTACTATGGATACATGGGATGGTTTTTCTAGTTATGAACATGCTCAAGCAACTGCTGATGAATGGAAAAGATTTCGTGTCAAATATGACATTACTACTAGAATAATTGAAACTGGCATTGCTAATGAAAGGCAACTCCTCGATGGCAGCAGTGCAAATCTAGTTTCCTCAAATATTTTTAGATTGTGAGAAGGAGTATATATTTGGGGATTCTCTTTATCTCCATCCTAGTTGGTTGATCCTACCGAATCTTGATGAGATTTTGTATTTTTTTTTTAGAAAATATATAATCTATATTTATATGGGTTGTTTTTTTAATTTTTTATATGAAATATTAAAATTTTAATTATTTTTTATTTTATTTTTCTAAGTTAATCCAGGTTGACCTATAAAAACCCGAGATCTAGTCCTCTGGCTGGGTTAACTCCCGAGTCAATTTTGATAATTATGGTTATAAGCACTATTTTAAAACTCGAGTTTCAAGAATTAATCGTTGTTTTTAGTAGTAATAAAAAAAATATTTGTAGAAATTGATGAGAATTGTAGTTTGAGGTAAAATGTGCATATGAATAGTGTGTTTGGTATTGTGGTAGCGGTTATGGTTTGAAAAAAATTGTTTTATAAAAGGTATTTTTAGTTGTAGTTGGTTTGAAAAAATATGTATTTGGTTAAAACTGTGGTTGAAATTGAGGTTGAACAAAAAGTAATTTAAAGTGTTTGGTTAAAAAATGTTTTTCAAATTGAGGTTATGAAATAATTAAAAAAAACATATATTAATATTGATGGTTTTTAATTGAAATATTAGTTATTTAACTAATGTTATTATATCATAAAATAAACAATACTTTATATAAAGTATTTTTTATTGTTGCATTAAACTATGTTTAATTTCATTACACATGAAATCTATTCAACAAAGACTATAATTTCCATAGTTTTCTGAGCGTGTCACAATATCATATAAAATATCATCAAAAATAAAATTAGGATTGCGATCAAATTTTGCAAATGCTACATCATCATATAATCTCCTTCAAATGTAATTATATGGTGCCATTAAATTATGTTAAATATTAATTTTTCAAATAAAACACAATATCTGAAAAAAAATTTCAAATTTTTTTATTTTACTAGGTCACAACCGATTCAATGCACAATGTAGCTGCTGTCCATTGTTCACATGAACAATGAAGAGTAAATTAATTCACTCTTCACTATTTAGATAGAGGAACAATGGAGACATGGTGCAGAAAAAGAAGGAGAAGGGAAGGGGAAGGAGAAGGAGAAGACCATGTCTCCACTATTCATTAACATAAATAGTGTGTCTCTACTATTCATGTTGCAGAACAGTGGAGACATGGTGCAGAAGGAGGAGGAGGAGGAGGGGAAGAAGAAGAAGAAAGGGAAGGGGAAGACCATGTATCCACTGTTCACGTTGCAGAACAATGGACATGGTGCAGAAGCAAAAGAAGGGGAAGGGGAAGGAAAAGAGCTGGGAATTCTTTCTCTGTGCTTCTGTAAGGTGCGCCATTGTTTACTGTGTTGTAAGACAGTTGAAACAAAAGCAACAGGAAGCTGCTTTGTGCAACCCTGCGTTCTAAACGTAGTAAACAGTGGGACCCATAAACAGTAAAACCTGTTTTTTCGCAACCAAACATGTAGGAGCTGCATTTTGTTTAAAACGCAGATGCAGCTGCTTAAACAAACGGCATCGAAATGTAATGTCCACTTACATATGGAGAAGTTGTTAATGATTTAAATGTTCAATTGCATTTGAATAAATTTACAAAGTACAATTCACCACAGGTGAAGAAAAGAGTGTGATTGCAAATTCCTTAAAACGACATTGAATTAGTAAGGAACTACGCTCATGGATGCCATTAAATGTTGTCCATATAAAAAATCAATTATTGTATAAAAAAATGGATAATCCATTACCATTTGTGTTATTTAATAGAAAAAAACTTGGTATGGCTTCCTTTGCATGCTATTCATCAAAGTTAAGATGATATGCGCAATCTCCTTCATAACTTGATGGTGATCATTTTTGGAATCCAAAGAATCATCGTGGTGAGCTCTTTCTGCGACCATAATAAGTGTCAATATTGGACGTTTAATGTGGCTCTAGCAACTTTTTATTCTCTCTCTTCTTTTTCTTTCTTGTCTTAAAATTCATACAAAAAAAAAACTCTAGTTGTCTACCCAATATGGCTTCAACAACTTTTTATTTCCCTCCCTCTTTTTTCTTTCTTGTCTCAAAATTCATGCAAAAAATAAACACTTTAGTTGTCTATAATGTTTTATGTATACATGCACAATATTTTCTACAATAAAAAACACCCTTGGATTTTAGTTTATATTAATGAATTTAATATAATTTAAGCCAATGTAAAGATTATTGGGATTATATCATCAATTGATGTTGAAATGAATTAATTTGTTAAGCAATGTTACTAGTTTACAAGTCTACACTTCATTTCAAATCAATTTAAAACAAAAACAATTAGCAAAAAATATTCAAGTTATATAAAATTATTTGATATTTTTATTAAACTCAAGTCAACAGGTCAATTTTGAAACCTTTTAAACCGACTTATTATCTAGCCCGAGTTTAAAATTAAATCATATGAGTTACTACAACATGACATAGTTGACTTGCCCAGTATAAGAGCATTAAGTTGACTAGTAAAAAAGGTATAATGATACAATTAAGAAATAAATAAAATTGATATTAAAAAAAACTTTCATGATTAACTTTTTGTTAGTTTGTGTTTAAATAAAATTAAATTATGTGGGAGTTATTGTGATGTGATATAGTCAACTTAAATGATTAAAAAAACCTGGTTGACCAATAAAAAAAATATAATGATTAATTTTTTTTTTAATAAAACTCTTAGCTCAATTCTTTTCATAGTCTTAGATTTTAAATTATTTTGTTAATTTAACCAATTTAAAAATAAATTTGGTAACTTCTGAAACAAGTTTGTGAATAAAATAAAAAAAATATACCAAATTAAAATAAAAAAAGTTTCGAATGGAAAAAAAGGGGGTTACATTAAAAAGGAGAAGTAAGAGAAGCTTATGAACACTAAATTATTTAGTTAAATGACAATTGTTTCCAATGCTTGCGTGTATATGCTAATGGCATAATGCCTAACAATATTTTTTTTTGGGTTGTTCTGTGTTTAAATTCAATTATAAAATTTAAATTGAATTAAATCCATAAATAAGTTGAATCTATGTATTTGAAATATGTAGAATTTAATTAATTATATTTCTTATATTATACACATTACCATCATCTTATTCCTCAGAAAATCTATAAATTTTTTTGGATAAATCGATATATTTTGAAGAATCTAATTTTTAACATTAGTTTCTCCTTTTTACTGCATTAAATTAGAAGGGCTGATTTTTAGTTTTTTTTTACCATATTTAAAGATTAAATTCTATTTAAAATTAAAACTTTGACACCCAAAATGATTCTAGCACATGAGATTTTTAAATAAATTATAAAAATTCTTTATTTAATCTGAATTTTAAAATTAATTATCTGAGAGTTATTGATTAGAAAAGTTTTTAAAAAAAAATACAAAAAAGAAACATATCATATTATTTTTATTTTTAGTAAAATAGTCAAACTTATAATTCGGGTTATTCACTTAATTGAATTAATTTTTTTATTATATAATAAAAAATAAAAAATTTAATTTGTCGTTGAATAAATACTGAAATATTAAATTTAATAAAATTTTAATATTAAATAATAAAATTTAAAAAATTTAATAAAATATTTAAATTTTATTATAAAATAACATTATTTTATATTAACTCCGGCCAATTTAAATCTTTCCAGTCCATGATGCACGTTTTCAAGCAAGATGGAGGTTGTTAACGTGGAATTGAAAACAATGCAACTTATCAAGAATGATGGTCGAGAAAGCAAATTTGATATTAGTGCTATGATGCGTTAATTCCACGTAGCTGGTTTGATAATTTTTATATAATTTAATTTTAAATTTAAATTAAGTAAAAATTGAGTGATAATTGTTTTTATTGTTTTTATATATTTTTTAATTTGTTCATCATATATTTTTATTGATAAATCTAGTTGTTTTTAGATTAATCAAGTTAACTATATTATATTAAAATAACTTTTATATAATATAATTTTAAATTAAAATTAAATTAAAAAAATTAGATTTTAAGATTTTATCTATTAAATTAAGTTTAATAAAAGTACAAGATAATTTTTTATCACCTAAATATTTTTTTAAAAAGAAATATAAGCGGTCTCGTTTCAAATTTAGTGATCTTGATTTAATAAGAATAAATTGTAAGGTAATCCTTTTTATGTATTCTAAAATCTTGTCCGTTTAATATGAATTAAACAAGTATTAAAAAAAGGGATTAAAGGATCTCTATTTATTTTCTTAATTGTAATAAATATGTGTATAAATAAGCAATTAAACAATATAATTTTTCCTATCATGCTACTTTCATGATAAAAAAATAAGATACTTTCATAAATAAAATTGATATGTCATAACATCAAGGAATTAGAGAAATAATACACAAGATTTTGGCAATTAAAAAAATATTCCTTAAGGCAAATAAGATTTTTAGATTTGAATTATCAAATATCAAAAATTTATTACAATTATTTAAGACATGTAAATTCTCTAATGTCATTTTTCAATAGAAGATTTGAACCAATATTATTTGTTTTTTATGTTTTAAAAATATTTATTTTTTTATATTTGATTTACTTCAAATTCAAATCAATATATTTTTAATATTTTCAAATTATTTTGATGTATTAATACCAAAGATAATTTTTTTAAAAAATTATTGACATATATTTTAATATAAAAAAATATTTCAAAAATAATCACAACAATACTGCTAAAAAAGTTACTGAAATTTTTTTATTACTTGAAATTATTATTCATATTAATTATAAATAAGCTAGTTTGAATATTTTATATTTGTTTTTGTGTTTTAAAAATATTTTTAAAAAATTAAATTTTTTTATTTTTTATTAATTTTAAATTAATATATTTTTAGTATTTTTAAATTATTTTAATATATTAATATATTAATATTAAAAATAATTTTTTAAAAATAAAAAAAATACTAAAACAAGTTTCCATATACATTAAAAATAAAAAATCACTCCGTCAACGATCGTTTTTAGGCTGACGAGTGAGGTGGCATATCGCGAACCATCAATCCAACGCTGCAGTGGGACCTACTGCAGTTGATCCCTCTAGAATATTCTAAGAGAAAAAAGAAAAAACCGTGCACTGCAATGAATTCAGAAGGGGGTTAACAAGATTTGTTAACCCCTATATAATAAATTATAATTTCATAATTTTGGAAAGATCATCTCTCTCTCTCTCTCTCTCGTACTTGCTTCAAAGAAAACCTCACACCAACAACAACTTGAGGTTAGATTATTATTATTATTATTGTTTTGCTAGGATCTTTTTTTGTCTTATAGTGAAATGAGGGTTGTGGGGCCGTTGATTAGGTGACTGATTAGGGTTTCGGGTTTTTCGTTGATCGAGATTTGTTGTGTTTATTGATAATCTTTGAATTCTTTGAATTAGGGTTTGATAGGCAAGGGTGATCGTGAAAAATTGTTGAATTTCTAATTGGGGAAGAATATTTTTATTGCCATTTCCAATTTATTTGGGGTATAATTTGTTTTTTCTTTTTAATTATTATAACACGAGGAATCCAGCTAAGGATGGGTAAACCCGGACCCATGAAAACCTGGTTACAGGATCATCTATAGGTAGTCCAGGCGGGCGCTGCGAACATGGAATTGTTTACTATGCGTTAGGAATCGAACCGAAAAGGGTGACATAAGTCACACAATTCAAGAATTGAATTTTATTAAGTGTTTTCCAAACAATTCAAGATCTTGTATGTAGAAAATGTTCTAGTTATTTTAATGTGGAAACATTAATGTTTTTGATAATCTCTACTGAAGTTTCGGCTTTATCATATCTGAAAGAGGGAAGAATGGAGCTTTTTCTATTAAGTTGGTGTTAGGATTTAAGGGGGGTGAATTGGATTTCGTAAAAGAACGTGGGTGCATTCGGATTTTGAAACTGGTTTATCCAGTAAATTTTCACTTTCATCTTGCATTTTCTATTTTGCAGTGCAAGGTTCTTTTAACACCTTGTTGTTAGATATTATTTTGTGTGCTAAAAGCACAAATTGTTACTTGTGATTTTATCAGCATTTCATTTTTCTAATTCTAACCACTCACGTATCCTTTTCTCAGGAGTGAGTAACAATGGCTTCAAAACGGATTAACAAGGAATTGAGGGACTTGCAGAAGGATCCTCCTACTGCTTGCAGTGCAGGTTTGTCACTAAACTTGTTCTAAAAAGGTCTTTTCTAAGCAGAAACTAATGTGCTATCAGTTTCTTTTATGAAGAAAGAGGCTTACGTGTCATGTTGTTTTTTCTTCTCCTGAGTTGAACATAATAATGATGTTATACTGTTAGGCCCTGCTGGTAGTGACATGTTCCATTGGCAAGCAACAATTATGGGTCCAGCAGACAGCCCATACGCTGGGGGTGTGTTCTCTGTTAACATACACTTTCCTCCTGATTACCCATTCAAGCCACCCAAGGTACTAAAAAAAGTAGTCACTATCTTTTGTATTTGATATTTTTAAGGTGCACCATGGATTTGGTTTATTTAGCTGTTTGTTCTAAGCTACATTTTGAGATTCTCTTTCTTGTTTAGAAGAGATATTAACTTAAGCATGGGATTCTATCCATTTACAAGAAGTCCTTTCATCATACCAGAATGTCCCTGAAAGGACATGTTCATGACAATTCATGTATCGATTCATCTGCACAGATTCATGTTTCCTTTCTTTCTCACAATGGACAAATTCTGATGTGAGCAAAGCTATAGTATATGCTCCTTGTAATCTGATGTCGCAAATATTCCTTGCTTCTTTCCTTTGTACTGATGTTGTTGACCTTAGGATTTTTACAGCCTCTGTTTTATTAGTGATCTAGTCACCTCACATGACACCAGTATTGCCCTTCCATTCTACCAAGATGAAAACCCATGAATGTCCCTGTTTATTAGTAATGCTTCAATGTTACTTAAGTCACTTGAAAGAGTTGTTTTTGTTAGATTTTGTTTACTTAGTTATATTTTGAACAACAAAATGTACTGATGCATGCAAAATAGATATTTACTATTGAATGAAATACTTCGTGCAGGTTTCCTTTAAGACAAAAGTTTATCATCCAAACATTAACAGCAATGGTAGTATCTGTCTTGACATTCTCAAGGAGCAATGGAGCCCAGCCTTGACAATTTCAAAGGTCTCCATCACTATCTTCACTTCTCTTCAAACTCCAAAACTTAAAATAAGTCCTGTGTATTTGCCATAGTTTCAATTTGAATCAGTCTTGGGCTTTATGATTGTTTCTGTTTTGCAAATCTTTTATGTTTCTTTGCAGGTTTTGTTGTCGATATGCTCACTGTTGACAGATCCAAACCCCAACGATCCCCTGGTGCCTGAGATTGCTCATATCTACACGACTGATAGAGTCAGGTATGATGCTACTGCTCGAGCCTGGACTCAGAAATATGCTATGAGCTAGAAGCTACAAGTTCTTGATTCGCTTTCCATTCTTGTTGGACGATATTGGTTACCAATGGTGTGATTTCATTATTGTCTTTTTTCGGATATGCACCTTAATAATCTTTCAGAAGTGAGATTATCAGGTTTTCAAGGGTTTTTTTTTTTCCTTGAATGGCTTTTAAATATGTCATGTGGGGGTGGGTGTGATATTCGAATGCTGCTTTGAATTTCTTCTTCCAATCAAGATCAGGCATAATTTGCAGGAAGCAAACTCATTTAGCATAGTATACATCATTGAATAAGCACATGGATATGGTTGGTCCGAACAATTAAAATTTGGAATTGAGACGATTAACGCCGATTGCTCGGAAGAAGAAATTCGAAGCAGAATTTGGCTCTGTTAGAGGCTATAACATCGCTGTGGATCCTCAATTGCTTTAACCTGAATGCCTATCATGTTTGTCCCTAATGCAAATTATACTTGACCGTAATTGGAAATAGGGATGTATTAGATAGGAGTTCTGTGTTATGCCATGGCCTGACTCAAGGTTTTTTAATGAAAAAAAAAAAAAAGTTTGGATGATGATAACGTTTTTAAAAGAGAGTAGGAAAAATTTAATCAATTTAATAATATAATAATATTTATATCGATTCATGATTAATTAATTTAATAATATAATTATAAAATAAAAAGCTAACAAAAAAAGAAGAAGGATAATAACCTATATAAAAAGTGCTTGTCAACATTATAAATAGGAATCCTATAAATATTTGTAAAAAGTTTTAATAATCTAGTAACAGAACAAAAACAAAATTAAATAAGAATCAGATAATTTTATAAAGAAAAAAGTAATATTACTAGTAAAACAAATATTAAAGGATGATTTGAAAACAAATTGAAAAAAAAAAATTAAATAAATTAAATAAAAGAAAATTTATATATAAAAAAATTAAATAAAACAATGGATTTCAACTTTTAGGCAAACAAAACAATGAAAAGCAAAAATTAAAAGAAAATTTAATAAAAAAACCTTAAGTTAACCTGGGTTAATAAAACTAACTTATGATTTAGGATATAAAATTGGAATAATCCTATAAAAAAAAGGGCTATAAAACTCATAAATTTGAAAGTCTAATAATATAATATCAAATAATAAAATTGATTTAAAAAAAAAAATCTAAAAAAAAATCAAAATGTAATCTTTGAAACTCATATCTACTGTCATTAGATTGACTTACCCTAAAAAATGTAAATTTAAAAAAATCACAAAATATAAATTTGAAAAAATCACAAAGTAGATTTTTTACCCCTATCTAAAATTAAAAACTAAAATAAATAGCAATAAAAAGAATGAGAATCAAATATAATAAAAAATTAAATTAAATAAAACAATGAAATGAAATTGAAAAATAAAATAAATCAAGAAAAAGATAAAAAAACAAAAAAGAAGCAATATAAAAAATAGGTTAAATTTGCTATTAATATTAAATGAAATAAAAGAATGAGGGATTATAAAAAAAATAAAAAATAACAATTAAAATAATAAGGATGAAGTTTGATAAATAAAAAAAATTAAATACAATTGAAATTGAAAAAAAAATTCAAAATCTATAAATTATTTTAAATAAAGCATACAATAATAAAAAATAAGGAACATATTCAAAGAAAAGTCAAGTTGAAGGATTTGATGCGAGAATCAAAGAGGAAAAAAGAAAAAAACAAAATAAAATGTCATCAATAACAAATCAGTAGCTTGTTGTTCACGCACATCATTCAAGCATGGAGGAGATACCTGGCACTTTTCAATGCTGCCTTGAAATTTCAAGTGTTTGGCTAATGAACGATGTTGCATGCCTTGTTCAAAACTTATAGAAACGCTCATGTGCTAATGTATGCAATCATGCGTCAACTTTTTTTTTTTTTAATAATATTTAAATTTGCTAAATTACCAAATCACCTCTTAGCTTACATGATAATAATAATAAAAAAAAAACTATAATGAAAAGAGAGAAAAGCCTTTGACAATAAATTTTAGAGTTTTTGCTATTAAAAATAATTTAGTCGTTTTACTATTAAAAAAATAAAAGACTAAAAATGCCTTGGATGTTGATTGCAGGCAATTGTTTTTTGCTTTACAAGAGTGATTTTGTTTTTTTATCATGTTAAAAAAAATTAATTTAACCAAATAATATCAAATAACCCTTGTAAATGATAAAAATGTCACTAAAATATAGTAATCCATGGAACAATAAATCTTGCTACATAGTGAATAGCCAATGCCTCTTACTTTATTATATATATATATATATATATATGCTCTGAATTTATATCCGTATATATAGATTGACCTAAATTAATTTATATTAATATATAAAATTTATGAATTAAAACATAATAATTTGATAATCTATAGAAAATAAATAAAAAATATATAGGAACTCATTTTTTAATGAATCTAATTTTAAAAAATAAAACTGAAGAAAACTAATTAAAAAAATTAGAGTTAACTAAGTTAATTTGTTAAATTTGAATTATAAAACCAATATAATCAAATAGAAAAAAAATAAAAATAAATTATGAAATTTAATTTTTAATTAATCTAATGTTAAAGTTACAAAAAAAATAAATTAATGATAAAATCAAAATAAATTAGTTTTGACTTGAGTAATGAGATTGAGATAACTTAATAAAAAAAAATCAAAATAAATTAAGTCAAACAACTCAAATATTTAATGATAAAATTGAAAAAAAATAACTCAGTTACAAAAAAGAACTTATAAAAACTTGAGTCAACTGGTTAATCCATAAAAATATGTAACTCGAGTGATGAGACTGAGATAACCACATAAAAAAACTAAACTAAATTATAAAATTTAATTCAAAATAAATTGAAATATTGAAGAATAAAATTAAAAAAATTAATTAAAAATAAAATAAAAAACCTGACTTAATCAAGTTAATCCATAATTATTCAGTTATAATAAAACTACTATGATATCAAAATATAAACTAAAATAAATTATAAAAATTAATCTCAGAACTGAAAATAAAAAGAAAAAAAGAAAAAAGGTACTGTTCTAATCTTGTGACGAGACAAAGTGATATCCCCTCGTCAATTTAGTTTTTGTTAACAGCAAGGAAGAAGTTTTAGTACATATCGCAATGATCTTCTCCAAGTCTGTCTACAGCTTTGTGATTTAACTCTTTAACATGTTTGTTTTTTGAAAAATAATTTTTTAAATATTTTATATTTATTTATTGTTATAAAAATTAGTTAATAAAAAATATTTTTTAATTAAAGAAGAATTTGACTAGGTTTCAGTAAAATATTTTCCTAAAAAATTTGGATGGAAAATACTTTTTAGAAATTATGAAAAAATTAGAAATGTTATATTATTTATTGATTATATCAAATTTGATTTTTAAATTTTTTAATTGCTATATATATTTTGTTTTGAATATTTATTTTTCAATTTTATCTTTTAAAATTTAATTTTTATATTAACTTTGTTCTTTATTTTTATAATTGTTATTTGTTTTTCTCTTATCATTTTTTTTATTAAAATTTTTTATTTATCAAATTTGATCCTTATTCTTTTGATCCTTATTTATTTTATTTGAAATAATTTATGAAATGTTAACTATTATTATTTTAATTTCTTCATCTTTTAATTTTTTTATTTTTAGATTTGATTTTTATTATTTTGATTACTATTTATTTTATTTGAGATAATTTATGAAATTATATATATTTTTAATTTCATTCTTATTCTACCTTTTAATTTGTAAGATTTATTTTTTATTATTTTAATAAACTTGAGAAAAATAAAATATTAATTAATTATTTTCCGGCTCATTTTCCATGATATAACCAAATACTAGAAAATGTTTTCCAACATATTTTTCATTACATTATCAAACATTAAAAAATAATTTATTTTTTTTAAATTTACTTTATTAAAATTCATTTTATGAAATAAAACTACTTTTCCGTGAACAAATAGTTGTTTACGAAAATTTTTAACTCTTACCAGCTGTAATTCTATCTTGTTTCTGCCTCAGTGACACTATTAACTAGGCACCCAGAAAAAATAAAATAAATTTGGAGCCTTCTGTTCCTACTAAAATAAGCTTGCAGGACTCTTTTGCTAGATTTGTAATGCTTCATGGGCTGGTGCTCCACTTATGGCTCCCTCACTCAAAAGCTGAACCAATGTCATGACAGATTTCGCCTAACTGGTGATGGTCCCGTGCGTCTCCTCCACCTCTCAATTTCTTTTCTTTCCTTCATGTCCATACACCACCATCCAAAGAATCAACAGCTGTGCTCAGATGAGCAACACAGAAAAAGCAATGAAACTAAAGTGAAGGAAGCATCCAAAAAGAGAGATACTAGTCTATTTTGCTCAAAGCTAGCATTTCCCCACTTGCACTCAACACAAAATCTGTGATTTACCACAATCATTTCATGTGAGTCATTAAAGACAAAGGTAGATAAAGCCTACTCTATGTCTATATAAACCAGTACTCTCTTCTACGTATCTGCAAGTCTCAGGCAAACTATCTCTCGTATTACTCTTCATCAACCTTATCACTTCACCAGAGCTAGCCATAAGATGAAGCTACTCTTGATTTTTATCTCCATCCTGCTCATTCAGGTAAATTGTGCAGAAATGTTGAAAGACTTAATTTCAATGTTAAATATTATAACTTGTACTTCGATATATATTGCAGGCTTTTGTAGGGAATTCATTCCTTAGCAACGCTGCAAATTCTCCAGCTAATGTGAGTCTCTCCTTTAGTTTCCAACTTAAGCCCATTTTTTCCTTTTTCTACATCATTCGTTTCCCAGTATGCAAATCACATCTTGGATGCAGATGGATGAAGAAAGCGATGTGGTAGCTATTGATAAGAAACATTATCCTAAAAGAATCAGTAAGTTTGGTGTTTGTTACCTCAAGATGTTGTGAATATTTCTCACATAAAATTTTAACTGCGGCTATTTTGAACAATGTAATCCTCACTCTGCCATCATGTGTCCTCCAAAGCCACTCAACTACAAAGGAAAGAACCAAAATTGCACATTATAATCTTCCATGTTGATGGCGGCTAGACCACCTTTGGCCTTCCATTCTAGGCACTCCGCACTCCAATTTTATCTTTGAAATAACACAGCAGAGAACGTGACACAACTTACATAGTCTGAGTTTTATTTAAGCATTTACATTGTAATGTTATTAACCTAAAAAAGTCATCAAGTTATGTATTGGATTCCTGAACTGATATAATGCTTTGGTTCAAAGCAATTTAGGCGCCTGGTTTTCCTGCGCAAACGTTGTTAATGGTCTTCAAGGGAAAAAAGAGAGGAAAAGAAAATGCAATCAAATCCTTTCTCATTATTACAACTATTAATTGACATAGCTACAATATGACACCAGCTTTTCCATTTCTGTGTTTCAGATTGTGGTTATTTATGCGCAAGGAGATGCAGGGCATCTTCAAGAAAGAATGTATGCCACAGAGCATGCAAAACTTGCTGCAACAGATGCCGGTGTGTTCCACCAGGTACCTATGGCAACAAGAGTGCATGCCCATGTTATGCAAGCCTTAGGACCCATGGAAACAAGCCCAAGTGCCCTTAAATTTCATGCAACTATTTAGTTCCTGGAGTGCAGGACATCCAAATGTCTTTTGAAAGTTGATTCTACTATTTCCTAGCTGGTTAATCTATGTGTTACCTAATAAGGGGATAAAATCAAGCTATGCTTGAGGATTTTTAAGGCCTCATCGAGAGGAATTTGTTCTGGTTATAATTAAGTAATTATTTTGTCTCCATCTTTATACTCATTATGTATTTTGTCAAATTCTGTTCGGACCTCCCTGCTCTTTTTCTTTCTGATTAGTGAAATGATAAAGGCAAAGATTCTGCACTTCCTTGGGGAAAAAGGAAAAACATTAAAAAGCACTGGTAAGGTGGTTACCTCAATTTAGGTGGCTATTATGAATGCATAGTAGCCCTAATCTAAATGAGCTTGTTCCTTTCTTTATAATATGAGAGCAAGTCACAGTCATATTTATTATGAAAGCATTTATTTTCTACCTTGATGCCTCGCTGCACCTGGATGCACATTTGGACTTGCAATCTGATGGTTACAACAGGCATTGTAAAGTTTTAGCCATAGCATATTTTTTGAGTTCAAGGTTGAACAGATGTGTGTCATAGCACATGCATGTATGCATGGTATTTTCATATCACCTGTGCATTATATACATTAGGGCACATATAATTTTTGTGCTTGTAAACAAGCCATGGTCACCATGTTAATGTTTCAAGAAACCTTAACGTGCAATCTCAAAGAAGAAGGAATTAAAGGAACCTTAACACAGACGTCTACAAAAAGAATCCAGTGACCCCAGTCCAGTTTTAAAATAACAAGAGTGCGGCAGCAGGTACTGATCAGTCCTGAAACCACTAATATTGCCCTACAAAAACAGTCAGTTGAGGTGGCATATATCTTTAAACTTTAATTTCCTCTCAGGACTGCATCAGTGAAATTATAGCAGAATAAAGGTCCTTTGGTCCCATTTTGGAAGAATATTTGCTTAGAGCAAAGCAAGAACTAGCTCAAGAAAAGGGGCTGGGGTGCCCATTAATATGGTGTGTGAGGTCTATACATGAAGAACTATCAGAACAAAGGAAAATGATGCACAAACAGAAACGATCAGAGAAAAACCATTTGTAATGCTGATGTTCAGAAACTAACAGGCTCTATGAACATGTACCTCGTATATTAGGGCCAGGCGCAAAGTATTGCCATGATAAATGTTGTCTTGGTACTGACCATTCTTAGGATAGGAAAACACTTCAAAATGAAGAGAGATACAGGAAAGGCAGTATAAGTTTACAGTACTGGGACTGAATCGTGGTAGTGTTTATAATGATGAAGTTGCCTTTTACGTACAATTGCATGATAATTAGTGTGATCTCCAACAGACTTCCCAGCTCTGTTCTACTAATGCAACATCTTAGCCACTAATGTAATGATTAAGTAAGATCCCAGATGTTAAAATTCAGTGGTTCACACTTCGTGAGTTTTATGGTTAAAAGATGAAGCCATTATATTTCACGTGATCAACTAGTCTAATAAGAGCTAGTAAGTTAAGTAATTGATGCTAACTCTCAAGTTTGAACCTCTTTTTTGTAAGCAAATATAAAAGTTCAGAAGAAAGAGATCTAGTTACAAGATTAGGAATGACAATTGTCATATGCTTATAGATGTAAATAACCCACCAACTTAGATTTTTGTCTTGAAACTGGTGTTCATCAATGTGCAAATGTGCTCAAGTGTGTTTTTGCTATCGTGATAATTTAATTTGTAATTATGATTATTGTGTTTTTTTTCATAATTAAGATTAATTGCAAGAGAAAGTTATCATTGAAACTCGAGTAAAACTATTATATGTGTGTTGATTAACTAGTCTAATTAAAGCTAGTAAGTTACGCCATTAATGCTAATGTTCTTTACAAAACTCTCAAGTTTAAACCCCGTTTTTTGTAAACAAACAAAAAAGTTTTAAAGAAAGAGATCTAGTTACAAGATTAGGCATGACAATATTATTATATGCTTATAAAAAACCCAACAACTTAGGGTTTTTGAGCTGAGAATGATGTTCATCAATGTGCATAAGTGTATTTTTGTTATTGTGATAATTTGATTTGTGATTAAGAGTTTGTTTGGCTCTGCGGCTGCAATTGTGTTTTTATTTAAAAAACAGTTGCAGCTGTTTGGTTAGAAAAAATA